TTAATTCATTTTAAAATTTTCGAAAAAATTTTAGGAGAAAAAGTTCGAGTTTTTACCAGGAATGGAAATTTTGGCTTGTTTATTAACGCCAATTATTCTAATAATTTTTAACATTTATCCAATAGCATCAAAAATAATTCATGAATGGATGTTTGTGGCAAATAAAGAAATTGAATACAATCCAAAATTTGATCTTATACTATCACAAAATGATGGAATAATATTCAACGATTCACCATCACTACCAGTACTTGTTCAATTCTTTCTAATTTTTAAGGCTTTCCTCTAAAATTAAATTTAAAAAAAAAAAGAAACAAATTTTGAAGATGATAAATTTAATGAAATAAACTTTGACAAAAAAAAATAATAACGATGAATTTTAATAATATCAGGGAATTTCTAATTTACACAGATATATTTATTAAAATAAATATTTTTAATTAAAATTAAAAATTTATTAAAATCTAATTAACAATAATAATTTTTTTTTTTAATATCATTGATTTTCTCAAATACATATGAAAAATTTGTAGAAATCTGGTGAACCTCTTGATGGTTGTTTAAATATTGAAGAATTTACGGAAGTTATGAAAGCATTAGCAGAATATAGAGTTATGGAAGAGGTACCACTAATTAAAACACCTTTAGAAGAGATTACTTATGTAAGCTATGAAATTCACGAATCATTGGGCTTTGATTATGCTGTGGTAATTTTTTTTTTTTTAAAGTTCAAAAAATTTCATCATTATTTTTTGAATTAATTACTTAATGTAATTTATTATTTTTTTTTATCATTACTGCATTAAACGAAGAGATATTAAATTTATATTAGTATCTTTTCATTAGGCTTGGTAAAGAGAATATCTAAAAAAATAATTTAAGAAAATAAAATTACTAATTAAAAAATTAATTGAAATAATTATAATTTTTGAGGTGACTGTATGATTTGGTCTATTTGAAAGCATTTCTGAACAAAAAAAAAGAAAAAAAAAACAGGCTTTTTGGTTAGTTATCAGGAAAATTGTAAGTAAAACTGTAATGGATTTGTTATTAAAGCAGAAAATTGAAATAGCAAAATTTGTGTTAATTTAGATTACACGTATTGAGCCAACCAAATTTGAAAGTCTTTTAATTCGTATGATTGAACAAGGACCAGGATTTTTTGATATTGAAGGAAATGAATTATATGAACTCTTATCAGAGGTAAAATTATTTTTTTTCATTAAAAAAAATTTGGTTTATCCAATTTATATGGTAAATTTTTAAGGAAAAAATTATATCCTAAAATTAATTTAGTCCAAATTTAGCTTGCAAATTAATTTCGTATTTCATTTTATTTATAAGTTATTCTTGAAAAATAATTTTAAATTTTTTAAACATCCTAAAATTAATAATAATTTTTTTTCTTTTTTTTTCAGTTAAGTGAAATCTTACGTACAGAAAATTCACTTCTAGAAATATCAGCTGATGTTGTTGTAATTGGTGAAATACGTGGACGGTTCGTTTTTTCTTTTAACTCATTTTCAATTTTATCATTATTAAAATAAGCAATGGCTAATTTATAGATTTAAAGATATCAACAGCAATAAATATTTATCTAAATTTAAAATTACAATCTTGTAGTATAATATGGACTGTAATTGAAATTAAAATTAAATTGAAATTAAAAAAACTAAATTGAAATCAAG